AAAGAAATCGGTTTTCATCGGGGTACAAACATTTTCTTCAACTTCACTCTTATGTGGAAAGTCGTTTCTGGCAAAGTGGGTCAGGACATTTCTGTCCCACTCTGTGATGTTCATGGGTCAAGGTTCACAAGGTTTCAACTTCTGTCCCATCTTCTTAAACATCTGTATGAGTTACTGGTCAAAGTCATCCAGCAGTTTAGACAGAATTGTTATATTTGTCTCTGTTTCACATTTACATCTAAGCAGAGGAAGTGGTGGGTGTCTTTGACTGGGGCCAGGAATTAGTAACGAATTGAAAATGATCCAGTAAACTGTAGCATAATTGCAGAGCTAGATACGCCTCAGTCCACTGGTAAAACCTAAATCATGCAGGTCACAGTGCCACACTGCCTAGACCCAAAGACAATGGTACTTGGTGGAACGTCTGACGGAACATGGCTAGAATTAAGCTGCATATTCCTAGCAAGCAGAGCTACTTTAGTTATTGCAAATGTGTACATGAACAACTTTGATCTCACCTATTTTTATCTTGAAAATCAATCAGCTGCCAGCTGCACACAATTCTATTATAGGAGAATCTGCACAAGTTCATACTCTGCACATTTTATTACTAGAGACATACCAGGGCAGCAGTGCTATGAAATCCATCCACAAGCTATGTGCCATGAAGTGAAATACAGCTCTCAACTTTGGCTTCAGGTAACAAGCTAAGAGATGCAAGAGATCAAAGTCTGGATTGAACCCCAAAACACTAAAAGTTGTGCATTCTCAAATCTGCCTACTGCGTGTTTAGATTTTACTCCTTGGGCTATAACATTTCATACAACAATTTGCTTAATTAATGGCTTACTCATATTTAGATACAGCACAGACCCATTGAAAGCAAAATTACTTCTCTTCATAATGACTAGCTCAAATATCAATTATTTCAGTGGGTCTACTCATAATATGACTAAGTCTCAGTCCAACATATTTTAAACATCTGAAAGGGGCATAGTACACTGTCCCGCAAAAAACGAATCCCATAATTAGCTAAAAACAACATTAATAGAATGAATGCTCCGACAGCTCTGGGCATGCAATCCAGCCCAATTAAAATAACAGGGGATCCTTTCTTTTTTGAAATATGCCTTCAATTTGGGTTACATTTCACAGAAATCCATGAGGTCTATAAAGTTTTATAGTCTAAATTGCCCATTTTATGGTTTTCCTTGTTCGCTCGACTTTCTTTATTGTCTGACTACATTCAAAACACTGCAAGAAAATATGCCAGGAGGGATTCAGAAGAATGCAGTATTTGACATGGCTTGTACAGGATTTTTATAAGTCTCTATTAAATCTAAATATTTTGCTTCTAAATATAACATTGTTGGGGACAGGAGAGGACAAACAGGATGTTAAATAAAAGGCAGCAATGTTAGTGATATAAAATAACATTATTAAAAGACATCAACAAAGAAAAGCAGGTGGAAACAACTGAAACAGTGTTACAAATTTATTCTGCCATCAGGAAACTAAATGAAATGGGCCTACTCCATTCTTGATGATGAAGCATGCAAGGGAAGTGTGATTAGAACTGATACTTTATGTGATATCATCTTCCTCATCGGAATCTCCCCATTCCCTGCGAATGCTTGAGAACAGTTTCCCCAGAAGAGAGGGGGGAAAGCAATTTGAGAAAGAGGGAGAGAGATTTATCCTGGAAAAACAGTAGGAAAGAAAGGGTTAAAGCCCTTCTTTTCTCATTGCCAGGTCCATTATAGACCTGGTCCCTCAAAAGAGTAGACAGCTTGGGCATGGATCTGAATGGTCTAGAACAGTGATTCCCATTCTGGGGTATGCATACCCCTAGGGGTAGAAACCAGGACATTTAGAGGTACATAAAAATGAATAATGCAATGCAAAAAAGGAACATACATCAACAGTGTAAGACAAGATACAAGTGGAAAATTGTGAAATTGCTCCAACCAGTATTTGACAACTATTTAGATTAACAGTACAAATCATATTAATGATATGTGGAATTACATCTGCCCATCTAATATTGGTCTTACATCTCACATGGATGTCATTAAAATATATATAATATGAAGAGGGGAAAATGAAGTTTCTCTTTTAAGGCCCAAGGAATGTGCGCCAATACAAAAGGAAACACAAATGTAACATTGGTTCTTGGCACTTCCTGTAACAGTTCTAAAGAACTGGCAAATTTGAGCAAAACACTTCCTGCTGATATTAATGGAACACTTTCCAACTCTGAATGAATCATTAAATCCCGTTATAGCCCTGCAGCAAGCTTTTCATCATGTCCTCATAACAGGAACTATGAGGATGATGGTGCTCTTTTAGCACGGACAGGACAGGACAAAGGAAAGAAAGCTATCTTGCCTTTTGTGTTGTTTGTGTACAGGAGAAAAACAAAGGCTGGATGTCTCTGTTTTTCCACTCACTTGAAAGTACGTACAGTATCTCATACTCGAGAGTTCAACCTCAAGGAGCCAGCGGCCACAAACCAAATAGGGCTGTGCTTTAAAAGTGGAAGTGGAACAAATTAAAGTCCCGCAAAGTGTATCTGAAAGAATTACATGCCTGACCAGAGTCACAGAGTACGTAATACTTCATACCAATATGTACAAGGCCATTTTGAAGGCCCTCTTGCATTTACTAATCCAGAAAACATTTATACTCTCGCACGGGGTACTTCCAGGCAAGACTGATATTGTGCAATTATTCTGATGGAATTTAGCAGGGGAGGAACAACTACATAATTTTCCATTTGTACATGTCCTGTCATTTCCCACATTTTTTTCTCTTCCCCCACCCCTTTCCACGGAAACATTACGTTAAGGAAGAAAAGACAGGATAACTCCACACTGCATTTTGATCAGTACTAGTAGGACCCGCGTAGAAACAGCCACAGACACTGATATATGAGTGATAAATCTTTATCATTGTACATACCTCAGCCCAAAGGAATTTGAACTAGCTGGATTTTATTTCCTTTTCCCTGCATTTGATCCTTAAAATTTTCCCAACTTCATGACTATCCTGTGAGTCTCCAACTACTGAAATGCTTAGAAGATTCTGTAACCCAAATCACTGGGTGATTTTTTTTTTCAGTTAGAAGATGATTTATAAATACCAGCCTAATTCCAGTGAACTCTGTGGGGTTTTCTTCTGAGTTGATACACAGAACATCTCTCAGCAAAACTGTCATTTTAGATGCTACATTAAACATACTGAAAATTACTTTTGAGTCAGGCTTTTCTCCATCGATTAGCCTGTTTTGTGTACGGGATCTTTATGTTGTGTGGTGCTAACTTCTGGGTAGTTTTGAACACACAGGTGCCAGCAGAGAGAGTAAGAGCTGTTGAAGCAGGATGTCCACTGCGAGACTCTCAGGAATATTACAGTCAATATACATGTAATGTACATGTAAATCTGATGTACATTGATATTGTGAATCCTGAGAATTCTAGGCAAATTTTGTGAATTTCCAAGAATTAACCGGTCTATCACTGGGTGATGACAAGTACCAGAAATCACTGTACACTTGAAAAATGGGGAAAATTAAGATCTATTTTCAGACATGAAAAAAACAAATTATTTTGGATCTTAAAACATTCATTGGGTGGCTAGTATTCATCGTTTCCATTTGGTCACTGTGCAGATTACTTGAAGAATATATGAAACAACAGTTCTTGTTCTCTGGCATTCATTTTGGAGATATTCCATATTAATAGGCAGCCAATTTCTGCATGTTCTGAACGTCCAAGTTACAGGCACATATTTGCCAGTCAAACTGTTTGTAACCTGGCCATATCCTTAGAACAAAACATTCAAGAAAAGACTTCATTCGTAGTGTATACAAATTAGCCATCATGGCTATAATCCTACTAGCTTTTGCATAAAACTTGTGTAAGTTGTCGGGGCTATTTGCAGTGCGATCAAATCGGCACCATTAGGAGAGGCCTTGGCACTTCATCCATGAGCCATATGGACCTGCTCCATATGGACCTGCTCCACAAAGACCACTAGGATGCCAGCCTAAGGATTTTCAGTATTAATCTGCTTAGCTATTAAGGAGTTCCACAATTATTTCATTGTATCTGTTGATCTATTCTATATGTACAGGAGAGTACTGGGAAATTACTTCAACGTGCCATTTTAAATTACTCGTTAGTTTGGTTCACTTATTAATTCATTTAAGTCCAGTTCGGGGGGGAAGGAGGATCCAGTTTTATGCGTCATTTTATTTTGTTCATTATACACTCCAACGTAGGACGACCCCATGAACGAGCGACTTCCAAAATGTCTCGTCTTCCACAGCCCTGCTCAGCTCCTGCAGACTCGAGCCTGGGGCTTCCTTTAGGGAGTCAGTCCATCTCACATTGCTTCTTCCTCTTTTCCTCCGGCTTTCCCCTTTTCCAGTCATTCTTGAGGGTTTTTGGCTCCTCAGCCAATCTCCCCTTGTCACAGAGCGGCCCCAAACAGGCTAGTCTCTCTTTAGTCGCTCCAGAGAGATTGAAAGAGAGAAAATTCAAGGAAAGTGTGGTTGTTTCAGAGACAACCCCCCCTTGCACTTCTTCCAGGCCCACCGCGCCATAAGGTCCAGCCAAGGCGAGGTGATTTGAGAACGTCGTCCAAAACTGGTCTGTGAAATCTTGTGGTGAAGCCCGTCCCTCAAAAAAGAAAAAAAAGACCCCCCAAAAGTGTCCTGAGGCCTTCCTGGCCCTCTCCAGGAGAATGACCGAGGGGGCAACCGCCACATCGCCTCAGCCTCGCCGTCCTTTCCCCTTCACCCCCTCACTACCTTCCCTCGCGCTCACCTGCCACCCTCCCCCCCCGCCTCGCGGGACCCCCCCCCCTCCTTCCTCTGAGGCGGCCTCTGGCGTCAATCGAACGACGGCGCTCCGGATTGGCCCGCGAGGCGGACAGCCCCTCCTCCTCCTCCTCCTCTGCCGGGTCCTCCCGCCCCCCCCCATCCTCCTCCACTCTCTCCCTCCCTCACCGACGCCTCGCGCCACTTCTTCCCTCAGCGGCTCCCTCTCTCGGCTCTTCTCAGCCATTTTTAAACGGCGTGAAAAGGGAAGCCGAGCCGGAGAGGTTCCCGGCAACCTGACCACGGGAGACCGACAGAGGGGGGAGAAAAAAAAAAGACCCTCGTCCCCTTCACGGTGAGCATCACCCCAAAGCCTTTCCTGAGGAGAAAAGTCGGGTTTCCCGCCCTTTCTCCCCTCCCTTTTCTTTCTTATTTCAAAGAGCCAGGGTCTTATGTGAGGGGAGGAAAGAAGGCTCTTTCTGAGGTAAATCTTTCCCTTCAGCCCCTTAGAATGAGGTGGGGAGGCCAGGCGGGGAGGGGTGCGCCATAAGGAGACTCTCCTCCCCATTTCTATCCCCTCAGCGGCTCGAGCGATGGAGGAGCGTGATGGTTGGGAAGGGCAGGTCTTGCCGGCAGCGCCTGAGGGGATGAAAAGCGGCCGGGCCACGCTCTCCTTTTCTTTTTCCTCCCTCCTCCTTCCCCACCCCCAGGGTGCGCTGCTTTTCCTTTCCTTTTGAATGCTGCAGATCTCGTTCTTTCCTCCTGTCCCTTCAGAGGTCGGTGGTGGTGGGGGATTTGAGATCTCCCTCCAGATCTTTAGAAGAGGGGTGAAAACAGAACCCTGTGAGGGGACCTTTGGCAACAGGCTAGGCTCGTTTGAGAAGCCCTCAGGCTACTGCTGCTCTGGGTTATTCTTATTATGCTACTGTATATTTTGTTTATTATCTTGTGGTTTATGTCATTGGTTTCACGGAAGCTACCAGGTGTCCATCTTAGGCAGTCTTTTCCGTTTTAATTTGTGGGATCGTGATATTTAGTCTTATTATTATTATTTTAGCTGTATGTTTTGCTTAAATATACAAACCGCCTTGAGTAGTGTTTCACTAAGTCTAAAAAGCTCAATCAGTCAATCATTCTGCCCCACCTGTGGGCTCAACTTGAACAGAGACCCTCACCCATTTCATAGAGACCTCCATTCTTACCTGTTTTTAAACCCCCTTTCCTCCTGAATATGTATTTTTTTGTGTTTATAAAGAGTCTTTCCTCCCAGAAGGTCGTGGGGAAATTAATTTACTTGAACTTTAATTAGCAAAAGCTCTTATAGTGTATAATGGGAGGGTAGTGATTCCACTGAAAGAGTGACAAACTGGTTATCTGTTTTGCATTTTCTGCAAGTTTCACAGATTCACTAAATTGAGTAAAATTCATGCACATCAATAGACACATGGGTGTTTGGATGTCAGTTCTGCACTGTTTCTAAGGATGGAGAGAGAAAGAAAAAGAGGTGGGTTGGTTCCCACTTAAAGAAATCTTAGATAATCACCTGAATCCCTTTTGACTGCTGAATGGGACCATCCTGTCCTCCCTGGAAAGGAGGCAGAGAGGATGATCAGATGTGGCCCAAGTGCTTCTTTGCCAGAATTGGAGAACAGGACTGGCTCTTATGATTGGGCAGAGTGAAGCCGCTGTCCCAGGTAGTAGATTTGAGGTGTGATGAAAGGGCTTCCTATTGTTAGCAATTAGGTTTGTTGTTTTAATTCCAGTGATATGAGAAACGTGCTTGTGGAATGTGTGTGTGGTTGTTGTTGTTTTTATTCATAGATTTTTATATTGCCCCTTAGTGCAAGGCACTATTCTGGGCAGTTCAAAAACAATAAAATCAAACAGAAATGATAATAAACAAATGATAAAATCAAAATCAAAACATCATTAAACCAAGCCAGCATGAAAATTGCCCAAAATAATAGTAATAATGTCTTGTGTACCTGAGCAACGTGGCTGGATAGGGAAATTCTGTACTTTGACTTGATTTGGGTGGAAGGTGTGCTTCAGACACCAACATGTTTTGGGCCAGTTTGGTCCACTGGCAAGACATATGGATTCACTGTCAGTGGTGATCAGCTGCACTGCTAGTAGCACTGAGAGCTGAAAAGGGGACATTTTAGCATGTCCCCATGCATGCTTCGAAAATATTCCAGCTCTGGAACTCCTATAAGTATTACCCTCATACTTTAGGGTAAGTAACTGCCACATATCTTGGGCTCTGATCACTGTGTGCCAGAAGAGATTTTGATATTGTGATTGTGCCCCACTGTGGTATCTCTTTGCCCTCTCACCCCACCTCATAATTTCTCAATATGTCTGTATATGAAGAAAGAACAAAAGATTGTTCTTACTATATTCGCTTTGTTTTATATTATGCTTTGACTCTTTAAAGCAGGGATGGTCATTTTTTAGAATTATAGCTCTGGAAGGGATGCCGAGGATCATGGAACACCCCACTGCCAGCCCAGGAAATCCACATCTGAGTCCACCCCCACCCCCCGAAGCAGTCAATTCAATTTTCTAATGTCTCCCACTGTTAGAAAGTCCTTCCTAAGGTTTAATCAAAATCCCTTCATGGCTGTCCATGTGTTGGACTACAACTCCCATCGTTCCTCGCCAGTGCTTATATTTGTAAGGGTGATGGAAGTTGTAATCCAATAAAATATGGAGGGCCACAAGCTGTTTATCCCTGTTTTAAATGGTACATGTGAGTCATTCTGCCTTGCACAGGATATAATGCTTCAGGAGAGAGAGTCCACAACAGCCCGTGGCAGCAAAAACAAGAGGTCCTGTGTAACCTCAAAAGCCTGCAGAATCTGCTGTTGTGGCCTAAGAGATGGTACTGCAATTTGCAGAGCTTCTGAAGAAGTAATATATATATATATTTAAATTATAGGTGCCTGGAGACATTTTAGGTGATTCAGTTGTTTGTGCACTATGGTCCTATAAATGTTTTTTGAAAATAAATTGTATTGTGTTCCGTGGGATTTGTTATGTGCCACCGTGTTGCTTCTAACTTATGGCTAAACTAATAGGGTTTTCAACCAATGGTTTACTGTCACCCTCTACCCTACTTGAGTTTCCATGGCTGAATGGGCTTTGGAATGCAGGACTCTTGAGTCTTAGCCTGACATTCTAGCCACATTAAACTGTTGTGTATCTAACCACTTGTTAACCTTGCAGTCTTAAAATATAGATGTTGACCTCATGTTGCTCAGTTGCAAAAGGTGGGCAGTGGAAATTACTCCTACACTCTGATAGCAAGCTTGCTAAGAAGAGGAGTCGGATATACTCTTAACACAGAGGCACACCTGCTTTCTTTGTATTGCAGCTGAAAGGATGGGGCGGGTAGAGGCTGTTGGAGGAGTTGTCACAAAGACTTCTTTTGAACATTTCGTGTAAATCAGCTGGGACGGTTCAGAAGCAATCGGTTATCGCTCTGTTATTATTCTCTGTTCTGTTTGCATTTTTAAAGACTTCTGTTGGTTTTGTTGTTTGTTGTAGGTACAGAAATATAATCCTGCATTTGCCTATTTAAAAGTCTTACTGATTTCAGTGGGACCCATTTCCACCTAGGTATATTACAAGTTGCAACCAATAAATAAATAAGCATTGAAGTAGTCATGTAGTACAGTGGTTCTTAACCTTGGGTTACCCAGGTGTTTTTGAACTGCAACTCCCAGAAACCCCAGCCAGCACAGCAGGTGGTGAAGGCTTCTGGGAGTTGCAGTCCAAAAACACCTGAGTAACCCAAGGTTAAGAACCACTGATGTAGTAAATGCATAAAAATTAAAATGGGGAAGCAGACTTTAACAATAATATTCAGCCAAATTGAATGAAGATTTAAAGAAAGAAGTAAGAGAGGAAAGTAAGGGTGCATAGGTGTATGGTAGATAGGGGTTTGGGGTGAGGTTTATATGAACAATACTAGATAGAAGTATGGAAGTTGTAGGGAGAAGAGAAGCATCCCCATATTGTTGATGAGGATAAAGATAAGGTGGTGATTGTGTTCTTGGGGAAGGCATATGCCTGCTCATCTGAGTTGGTGAAGCAGATATTAAGATGTGATGGGGAGCAAATTGTTTCAAGGAACCCATAGCTAGTAGGGGGGCATTGCAGGAGTCTGTTTGAATATACCTGAACCATGCATATTATCTGGGGCGAGGTTTCTGTTAAGGTTCAGTGACATTCAGAGCACAAATAGAACTCTACAATGTATGTAGATAGCATCAAGTGAGCCTTTTTTTTCCTGTGGGAACTGGATTTGACTTGGAAAGCATTTGGCATTTTACCTTTACTTGTGCCGCAGGTGCTAGATGATGGATGCAAATCAGGTGATTCTTTGTACCTATGTTTTCATCACCTCAACCGCTGCTGCACCTTCTACTTTTCCTTGTTTTACACCCTCCCTCTCATTGGTCTTTCAATGGTAGAAAGGTGTTGCATCACTATATGTTTGGATTTTGTTCCTCTGAGGCGAGAACACTCTTTTTGTTATCTCTGATGTGCCTGAAGTAGTTACATTTGAGATTACAAGCTCTTCTCTGTGAACTGATTCTGGTCTGTGTCCAACTGGGGCATCTCCTTCCCAGTGGGTAAATGAGAAATAAGCAAAGCTTTGTGATTCTTCCTCTGAATCGGTAGCATCTTTCTGGATTCAAACCAGGCAGCTCCCTCTGGTCCGTAGTGTTTAGCAGCACAACCTCATCCTTCTCACAACCCCCTTCCTAGACGTCGCTCAGGAGGCTGGGCTCCGGATATGGCCTGATGCTGATGTAAGAAGGGAAGGGGGGGGAAAGCTCAGTGAAAATGTGATTCAGTGCTTAGCAGCATCCAGGCTTGCGTATTTCATCTTGTCTATTGTGAGAGTGGGCACTAAAGCAAAATGAACAAGTGTTTTCTTCTCCTTGAGATTAAAGGTAAATCAGCTGCATTTCATGTTCTCTTAGAAACTGATTGGTGCCAGTGATTTTTCTAGTTCTGTTAGAAAGTAACCTTTTATCTAGTATATGCACTTTGTCTTGAAAATGTTAGAAATATGACAGAAATTAGTGAATATGTTACACAAAACATTTATTCCAAGACTGTTTAGAAGCAAATAGTTTTATGCTATATTTGTTTATTCTTGCAATAGTAAATAACAGAATGGTTTATTTTTGTTACCTAGCATGCTAGTTCTATTTTGTCATCTGTTCCCTAGAGAACATCCTCCCAAGGGGCAATTTAAGTAGAAAAACAAGGATTTGCCATGTTTCAACTCAAGGAATGACTGTAGAAGGATGCTGGCGTGCTTTATCCAGGGTAAAGATT